GTTGATTGACTTTATCCGCCGGGTGTTTTATCAACGGTAGGTCAGCTTCCTTAAAGCGTTGCGTTGAAAGACTCTGGTTAATAACCACGATGAATGCAGCAGATGACCTCTACCTCAATGCCGAGCCTCTTCATTGTCTTGTCCAGTCCCTCGCGTATAAGACTTCGTTTTCTAGGAGTCATCCGTCTTGTTTCTGGGGAATGGTTATCAATCAAACTTCCAGTATTTCTCTCACCTACAACGAGGGTTTGCGATAGTCTAAGCCATATTTCAGAGTCAACAATCAACTCCAACTTTCACGATGAAATTCTCTGCAGCTGTCCTGGTACTGGCGTCTCTGGCATCGGCTCATTGTGCGTAGAATAGAACCTAACCTAGTGTCAAAATCTTTGGGCAGAACTAACAAGTATCAGACGTCTTCCCTTCCGTCACCTACAATGGCAAGACTACGAACGACTGGGAAGTCGTTCGCAAAACAACAAACTTCCAGTCCAACGGGCCCGTCACAGACGTTACTAGCTCGCAAATGACATGCTACCAGCTCGCGCCCGGCAACGAGGGAGCCACGGTTCTCGACGTCACAGCTGGCTCGACCATTGGTTCGTCTAATCTTCCTTACTCTATACAAACCAAACAGTCTCTACAAATACTAACACCAGATGAACCAGGATACAACGCCAAAGCGTCCATCTCCCACCCCGGACCCATCAACTTCTACATGGCCAAGGCGCCCTCCGGCACAAGCATCACAAACTGGGACGGCTCCGGCAAGAACTGGTTCAAGATCTACAGCGACGGCCCCACTGTCACCTCAGGCGGCCTAACGTGGCCGACAAACGGTATGACAAGAATCCTCTCTCTTACAATGACTCTTGTCCAGGAGGGATTTTATGCTGATGCTACCATTTCAAGGCAAGGCAACAGTCAACGTCCAGATCCCAAAGTGCATCGAGAACGGCGACTACTTCCTTCGCGTCGAGCACATCGCCCTCCACAGCGCCAGCAGCGTCGGAGGCGCCCAGCTGTACATCTCGTGCGCCCAGCTCCGCGTCACGGGCGGCACGGGCACGTACAAGCCGAACCTCATGTCGTTCCCCGGCGCCTACAGCCCCAATGATCCCGGCTTGGTTGTAAATATTTACTACCCTGTGCCGACCAACTACAAAGCTCCTGGGGGTGACGCTTTGACTTGCTGAGGGTTGTCTGAATCTTGGAAATGGGGGCGTGGATGAAGGCAGCCTGGGAATCCCTTGCGCTAGAATTGACGAGTGCTGGAAAGCATTATCCATCACGATAGCTCTCTAGCCTATCTTGCTTTTTTCCACGATTGCAATTCAAATCACATTCTCGATTGCGCTGCGCGTAGCTTGAGCGCACCCTTGCACAGCGCACTTCTCTACGCTCAATCTCGTCACCCGTCCTTTGTTACATGTGACGAGAACAGGCTCCGAGCTTCACTTATCGATACATATAAAAAGACGGCCATATAGGCCGCTTCCCCGCGCGCTCGTTCCTCTTTCCCATACACCACGAGCACCCCAAAATGAGGAGCGATAATAGCAGTCACAGTCACAATCACACCCACAACAGGGTTGACAGCCGACGACCACTAAGATCGACTGCGGCCCGCAGTAGAAGCTCGCCCGAGGGTAGCAGTCGAAACAGAGCTGTCACGAATGCCTCCGATTGCCACCCTGACGGCTGAAATTGAAGCTCCCTAGCTGTAAACCCGTTACAGCCTTCCCTTTTCGGAAGATGCCCGTTCCCCAAAGTGGCGATGTAACCCCCACAAGGGATCACACGGAGGGGTGGTGAGCATCATTGACGATGCAGACAGGCTCAGATGCGGGGAAGGCTTACATGTTGGCAACCACGAAATCCATAGATCAATTGTGAAGTCGGTATCGCTTACTTACTCTATCGTCCAGAGGTTGGAACGTGGCGGTTGACGATTTTCAAAGAGCCACCTGCCCACTGACTCAAGCAGCACATTTGATGCGGAGATAACGGGACAACTCTCTATCATATATGTGGGTTTTGGGTCTCTCAGGAGATATAAGCCTTTTTGAAGTCTCCTACAAGTTGCAACTTACAAGGCAGGCCCCGGCAAGAAGCTGAGGCGCAAAAAAGCTTATGCAAGGGCCGGGGCCAGCAGCTGACATGCTCGCACCGCACGATCTGGTCTAGTGTTGACGACTCACACTCAAACTTCAGAGTAGCTCATTAAAGGACGGAAAAATTATCGCTCGCAGATTGGCGACTTTGCAAAGAAAGGAAAGAAAAGGGTGGTGTTCGTGTCAGTTTCGGCATCTGGAGTGCCGAGTTCGATATGATGGTTTAATGATGGGAAAGCCAGACTTGGCAGAGTCAGATTGACTTTGAGCTCTTTTAAATACCACGGGCAGAGAACTTTGCGCAAACGAGAGTTGATCAGATCTCGTCAGTTGTCTGATGGATCCAACTTTGTGAATAGAAACCATGCATTTCTCAGTTTCCAAATTGGCCTGCCTCTTGGCGGCAGCTCACGCAGCTGCGGCCGTCACTTACAGCGTGCCCGCCAAGGTGAACACTGGCGGTCTTTCATACGCTCCTCTCGAGGCAGCGCCCCTCGGTCTATCGTGAGTTTCACCGGTAATTCCTCCCTCGTTCCTCCCCCCCCCCCCTCTAGGTCTTCTCCCCATCCCACAGTTTTGTGTGGGTTCCTGACTCTTATTGCCAAAAGCTTCGAGTTCTTCGCCTTCCCGGCGTACTTCAAAAACGTAACGGCAACGAACCAATGCCTCGCCAACCTCAAGGACCTGACGGGCACCTGGCCCCCGATCCGCATCGGCGGCACAACGCAGGATAGGGCGTCCTACGACGCGGCGACGTCGGCGTACGTCGTCTACTCGGTCGCCAACGCCGCCGACGCGCCCGCCTCGCTGACGTTCGGGCCCAACTTTATGAAGCTGGCGGCGACATACGCCGGCGACGTCACGCTCGGTCTGAACAGGGGAAAGAACAACATCGATAACACTATTGCGGCTGCCAAGGTTGCTGTGCAGGAGATGAAGAATCTCTACGCCATTGAGGTCGGCAATGAGCCCGAGTGTAAGTGAAAATTGCCAAGCCTTTTCTTATTACGAAGCCAAACTCAACTTTGGTTTGTAGATTGGTCGGGAGTCCAGCCCATTGCTGCGGGAGGGTGGAGTCCCGCGCTGGATGCTGCGTCGCAGAACCACTGGGATATCACTGTCGGCAATGCCATTGGCAAGAAGAACATTATCCAAGCCGGCAACTCCAACTCTCTTCCTCCGACTTGGGGAGCTGAGGAGCTCATCGCCAGCGGGAACGCGACGGTCAGAGAGTATGTGAAGACATACGCACATCACAACTACCCCGGAGGGTCTGTGACTGGTTTGATGTCTCATTCGAGCATCTCAAGCAATGTTCACTTGTAAGTTGGTCGCGTATTGGCACCTGATAGGCTTCTTGACTGACGTGACCAGGTTCGACAAAGACATTGCTAGTGCGCTTGCAGTCAACAAGCCTTACGTCTTTGGAGAGACAAACTCTGGTAAGTTGCATAGACACTCTCACACTTTTGGTCTCCTACGGAACTGAAGCTAACGACCGAATAAAGTCGCGGGAGGCGGCGCAGCCAACGTATCCCCAACCTTTGGCGCAGCCCTCTGGGTCATGGACTACACCGTCCGTCTGGCAATGTCCAAAGTCAGCAGAGTCTACTTCCACCACGGCACGATCGGCAACAACCCCTACGCCTTCTTCGGCCGCTATTCCAACGGCAACCCGTACGTCGGCGCCTACGCCGCAACGGCCTTCATGGCCGGCGGAAAGCATCTGGCCGCCCTCGACGACGGGAAATCTGCCCTGGCTGCCTACGTCACCTACGACGCAGCCGGCGTGCCGCTGCGCGCTCTGCTGTACAACTCCAACTACTACAGCGGCACGGGGACTCGGGGAACCGAGTCGTTTGTACTCAGTGGGCTGACGACGGCGGCGGGCCGGGTTCGGAGTAAGCGCGTGACTGCTGCCAGCGCGGAGGCGAGGCAGGATCGCGGCGGAAATGCGTCCTTTGGACAGCAGTTCTTCAACAATGGCACTTGCACGATTGGTGGGACGGAGACGTTTGAGACGACGACGGTCTCGGGTGGCCAGGCTACGTTCAGTGTGAAAGCCAGCGAGGCCCTTCTCGTCTACCTGCAATGAGTTCGATATAGGCTCCGAGATCTCAAGAAAATCCGATGGCCACAAGGATGAGAGATGATATGAGGTCTTTGGTATAGCGTCGAGTGCTTGTAGTTGTTCTTGTAAGTGGGAAGGGAGGAAGAAGGAAGCGGGGATAACTCACTAACTCGGACTTCCCGATACATACCCCGTTAATTGAATTGACCGTCCAGGTATTCTTTTATGCAAGCATAAGTGATGGTGAAACTTTTCATCCTGTTTCCAGGCCCATACACAAGTAGATCAACATCCAACAAGTGGAAGGAGAATAATTAGAAACGACGCTCCTCCAAGCGGTTCACATGCTAATCACCTAGTTTGCCAACCGCGACTGAAGAAGCTGAGGTAAGTGATGCAGCAAAGCCAAGCGCTATGCTTTAGTCTCTCATCTCAACGTCATTGCTCTCTCTCTCTCTCTCTTTTTTCCTCTCTCCAATTTCCTTCAGCCTTAACGGAAGTACATCCCAGTCGAGTCCACCCCAACCCGTCTTGGCACTGTCAAGGCAGCTCTTCCCATGTCAGTCTGTTAAGCCTCCTTCACTGCACTTACTACGTCGTCGCTCTCAAAAGACAACCTCTCTAGCTGCACCTCTAAGCAGTTTCATGACTATTACCTCAATATTATCACGACATCATCTTCTTTCACTTCTTTTCTCACCAGCCTCTTATCGGCTGAGCTCAATAAACCTGCATCGCTCTGCATCGACTGACTCTGGAGTACAGCTCATATACCGTGAAGAAACATACACATATGTCACACAGTAGACCTCACAATGGCCGATAAATACATCCTCCGTGTGACTGCAGGACCAGGCTATGATCTGGACTGTCAAACAGAAGTCCCCGTCAACCAGGCCAAGCCCACAAAGATCACCAGCGCTCTCGCCGACATTGAGCTCAACGTCAGGATACAAAACTACGCCGGCCTCCCTCGTAACTCACCCTCTACCTCACCCTACTTCTCTGAGGAACCGCACGCCACCAATAAAGACCAGTACAGCATCTCTTTCCGCTTCACACCCAAGAAGCCCGCAAATGCCTCCTCATCGGTAGACGGCATATCGGCAGAGGACCTGCAATTCGGCAACGACTTTGACCACCCCATCCGCGACCGTCTCCCACCGGGCTTCAACACAGCACTCAACATTGTAAAGTGGTGGATCGACCCCGGTCTGGACGGCGACGCCTACGCCGATGTCCCTCATCTCTACGGCCCCGCGCTAAGCTCCTTCAACACCATCCACGTTGGTTCTGGCGTCCACGACGAAGAAAAGGGCGGGCTATGGTTCGAGGAGGGAGGCGACGAGGCCGGCCTCGAAGCACGAGAGAAGATTGGCGCGCCGGCCACGTCCAAGGAGCGCATGAAGTGGGCACTTCGCAAGGACAGCAAGGAGAACTGGCTGTTTGAGTACGGCAAGACGTACGGTTTGGACTTTTTCAATGCCTACCTCGACTTTGCCAACCTGGCGTTGCGCTTGCCCGGTTACCAACTTGCCATCATGAAGTACTGGGACGGACAAGGCCTTCGGTGAGTTTTTGCTCCTCCCTTTTCCTATCTTTAAAACCTGTTCTTTGCTTCTCTGCGAGTCGAACTGTTTCCGTAATATTATTCCCATCTCGCGCCATGGCCGTCATTTCCGACTTGTGCTATTGACCTTGGGAGGAAAATGATGTAATAGCAACACGAAGACCCTGAGGTGGCTTATCAAAGCACGGCTCAAAAATGCTCTCCTGTTTTCTTTTCATGTCATTCTTACCAGCAGCAGGGAGGGGGAGCCTAAGCGCTCACATACGCTTAGATACGTTCTCCGGAACAAGACCACCGGCGACGTCTACCTCGTCGTCCTCTTCGAGATCCACCTCAAGGACGACGTGAACGAAGACGGCACGCTGAAGACCACTGCCAGGGGCGTCAAGACTGGTGCACTACCGCCGCCGGCCAAGGACGACCACGAGCCTCACGACGAGGCCAAGGCGCTTGAGGAGGCTAGGAAGAAGATGGGCCCCGCTGCGCATGAGGCGGAGGAGACCAATGCCGACGATGTGGACTAGAGTGCTGAGCCGAGTACACTTACACGAGAAGTATGAAGCTTTTGTGATTAGATTTGGTCGATCCTTTTCGCCCTAGGTTATGTCGGAAGGCGAGACAGCATGGCTAATAGACACGAATGGATGACTGGGAGGGAGCAGGCCCGGGCCTATATATAATCTAATAAACAGCTCTGGCTCTGCAACATGTTACCTCGACACGCTGCTGTTCATGTTGGAAGGAAATCTGACAAAAGCCCAATAGTCGCTGTCATTTCACTCACTTGAACTAGACAACCAGTTGTCAACAGAACTTGAGAGCGAACACGAATAATGCGCGAGAGCTGCGACTAAATGCACTCCATCAAACGTTTAGGAAACTAGACCAAGATGTTGAGAGAGGAGATCTCTAAACCACATCAGAGAACAGCCTTGCCCACCTCACGGCGCCTCCTCCCATCGTAATGAGATGCTGCCTGGTCCACTGCCAAACCAACGGAAATTGTCCTCTCGGCAGCGCGTAGAGGATCCAGGCCAATACTCTAATCAGGCCTTGGTATGAAGTCATACACGGCCAAGAACTGCTTTCTCATCTGCCTCTCGCCAAAATTCGGGTTTCGACACGGCGAGCATGCGAAGCAAACGTGGAAAATGTTCCTAAACCCCTGTCCGCCATGCCGTGTGTGACGAACGCCGCGCCGCACGCCGAGACTGAGAAACCCCCATGGGCGCCCCGGCCGAAAATTCAGCCTCTGTCCGTCTCCGTGGACGATTTTGTGCCCCGCCGCCGAGGATTACGGGCCGCTTGGCTGCATCGCCGATCGTCATCCGACAATTCGCCCACGTCCTTGTCTCTCTCTTTTCGGCGAATGTTTGTACTGTACAGCCGTGGAGGCTTTTATCGACAATGAGCGCGCGGGTCGACGTGCTACCTCTAGCACGGCTGACATTCTCCTCATCTACCCTTTGCGAACCATGGCCGGTGGAATATCTGTTCGCCGTAGACATCATGCGCCACTTGAACCTAATTATAACCAATATTCTTCCTGTCAACCTTCGCTTCAAAGACAACTTGCACTCTTGCGATAGGCTCAAAAGAACTGACAGTAATGTCAAGATCCCATCCCAGGAACGAAGCACTTGATTCAAACTTAATGAGATCCAACTCGCATCCAAATGAAGGGGACACGCCGGGGAAACAGATAACCGGCCCACGTTCGACCTGGATTCATAGACGGAATTCACCCCCACGGCCTACTCGTAACCTCTCCAGCCCGACATGTAGCACCAATATCTCTTCCAGTCACACCAGAAGGCGCATCGTTCCCCACTGAAAACCTCTTGGACATACGCAGCCCGCCTCGAGGCCGAGACTCTATTCCCCATATTTTAGTCTTGGAACGCACCCACTCCTCCATGACCAGTCTGCCTTAATATTGGCTCGTTGGCCAGAGATATGCCACCATGAAGTCCAACGACAAAGTTTCCGCCTTCTTTCTTGAATCCTCCGGAGTCCAGAGGCCCACAGGGACGCCTTGCTTGCAAATAATCTGACGTCTCCAGACTATTTAACCTCCTCAAATATCAAGAGGTCCGCTTCTGCCCCTCGAGGCCTATCTTTCTCCCCCAGATTTCGTCTTCTTCCGTTCATGCCATCCCCAAAAGTCGTAATCTCAAGGTTATCTTTATATACACTCGACAGATAGGCACATTTCCGAACATAAGCACATTGACAGACGCCCTCGGCTGGCACAAACAGAATGCCTCCCCCAAAGGTCGACACAGAAGCCCCTCCCGTCCCCGAAACCACTCCCTCCTCCCGAACCTCCGGCAGCGACGCCGGCGATAGCCCCGGCGATAGCCCCGGCTCCGGTCCCAACAACACCAAAAACACCTCCACTCCCACCGGCGGAGGAGGCCGCGCCTCGACCGCCGCCCTCCTCCGCAACCCGCTCGTCAGCCTCACGCACGATGAGATCCTCAAAGACGCAGACGCCTTCACCGAGACAAAGGGCCTGCAGGAACACCGCGAGGTCTTTCGCAAGGGCGCCCTGGTCGCGCAGGTGATTAACCGCCCCGACGGCTTCGAGTCCGTAGCCGCTCTCGACGAAGAAGAGAAGGCCGTTCTGCGGAAGGAGGTCTCGCATCGTTGGCATCAGCCTATGTCGCTCTACTTTTTGTGTGCTCTCTGTGCGGGTTCGGCTATTGGTATGGGGAGACTCCGAGATGGGAAGTTGAAAAGCTGCTAATGTTGCAATCGCTGCAGTTCAGGGCATGGATCAGACAGCCGTCAATGGCGCCCAGGTATCCATCCCCTTCTCTATGAACATTTGATGACGATCTAACGACTGTGCCCAGGAATTCTACTACGAGACGTTCGGTCTCCAAGACGACCCAACAATGCAGGGACTCGTCAACGGCGCGCCTTACCTCTGCTCCGCCCTCGTCGGGTGCTGGAGCTCGCCCATCTTGAACAAATACACCGGCCGCCGCGGTACAATCTTCATCTCGTGCTTCATGTCCGTCGTCACCGGCTTCTGGATGGCTGCCGCAGACAGGTAAGTGGACACACGTACACACACGCATATCCAGCCAGCCACTATGTAGGTCTGAAGTCACTAACTCTCAGAACAGTTGGTACAACCTCCTCATCGCACGCTTCTTCCTCGGTTTCGCAGTCGGCGCGAAGAGCAGCACCACGCCCGTGTACTCTGCCGAGAGTACGCCCAAGACTATCCGCGGTGCATTGACGATGATGTGGCAGGTGAGCAGAACCTTGGTGAAGGTAGAAATCCCGTATGCTGTGGAACTAACTCATGTGTTTTCATCCAGATGTGGACAGCCTTTGGCATCGCTTTGGGCTTCATCGTATCCGTCGCCTTCGCCAACACGGATTTCCTCGGACCAAATACGCAATGGCGCTGGATGCTGGCTAGTACCTCCGTGCCGCCCCTCATCGTCATGGTACAGGTAAGGACATTTACCCGTCATCTTTGACGTCTTTCCATGTATTCCCACTTCTTTCCCAGCATGTGTTACAAGATTTACCACACCCGCCCTTCTTCCTCCTTTCTACCTTTCCCACTTCAACTACAACAGCAGAGAAACAATCCTTATAAGTGAGGCATACTCACTCACCAAATCCTAGGTCTACTTCTGCCCAGAGAGTCCACGCTGGTACATGGAGAAGGGCAAATACCAACACGCCTTCCGATCGACGCTCCGGCTACGACACCACCCAGTGCAGGCGGCCCGGGACATGTACTACGCCCACAAGCTTTTGGAAATCGAGACGAGAGCCCGCAGCGGCCGCAACTGGAAGGACTTCTTCACCGTTCGTAGAAACAGGCGCGCTGCGCTGTCTTCGTATTTTGTCATGTTTATGCAACAATTCTGTGGTAAGCACCCTCTCCCTCTCCCCGTCCTCCTCCAGCAACCATGAGCATCCATCTAACAGACACTTCTCCCCCTTCTCAAGGCATCAACGCCATGTGAGTAATTCTTTTCTACCCCAAATCTCTAAAGGAAGTATACAGGACTGACACCCAACAAGGATGTACTACTCCACAAACATCTTCGAAACATCCGGCTTCGACCGCTCAACAGCCCTCCTCACCTCAATGGGAATGGGCCTCATCAACTGGCTCTTCGCCCTCCCAGCCTTCTACACAATCGACACCTTTGGCCGCCGCAATCTTTTGCTAGTAACCTTCCCCCTAATGTCCCTCTGCCTCTTCTTCACAGGCTTCTCCTTCTTCATCCCCGAGGGAACAGGCCGCCTCGCCTGCGTCGCGACGGGGATATACCTCTTCGCAGCAGTCTACTCCCCCGGCGCGGGCCCCGTCCCCTTCACCTACAGCGCGGAAGCCTTCCCCCTACACATCCGCGACATCGGCATGTCCTCCGCCACGGCGGTGACGTGGGGCTTCAACTTCATCATCAGCTTCACCTGGCCGCAGATGATTTCTTCGTTTGGGGTGACGGGCGCGTTCGTGTGGTACGCGTGCTGGAACCTCGTCGGGTTTGTGGTGGCGTACTTCTTCCTGCCAGAGACGAAGGGCCTGACGCTCGAGGAGCTCGATAGCGTGTTTGATGTAAAGAGTCGCGACCACGCTGGGTACTATGCTTCCAAGATGCCGTGGTATGCGAAGAAGTATGTCTTGCGCCGGGATGTTGAGCCGTTTCCTGCGTTGTATGAGTTGGACGGGGATGATGAGCCCGGGTATCATGAGGGAGGAGGAGGGCGCAAGGCTACTGTCCATCATGATGAGACGGGCCTTGTTGCGGGACAATCTGCTGAGAAGCAGGTGCCGTAAGAATCGGAGTTTTTGGCATTGATTCAGGCCAAGGAGTGTGTTGTATGGGATTTACAAGCCTTACTAGATCTCATATAGCCTGCCTTGGGCGTTCGGTTCGAAAGGCTGGACGAAAGAGGATTTGATTTCGTTTTGTTGCGTCCTCGTGGGATTTTGACATGAATGCGTCGACACTTAGCAGTCATGTCACATAAGGCAAGTCTTCACAAGGACGCCAATAAAGTTTAAATGATATGGAACAAATAACAAGCTGTTGCTAAGTGCGTCTTGTACAATGCTACCACTCTGTGTGGCTCCCATAACCTCTACCATGTTCTGATGCTATTCTCATGATGTGTGAAACTCCGTGTTATGCGTTTGAGCACCCCCGTCTGCCCACAAGACCAAACAATGCTAGGCAAGACCGATCCAATATCCGAATATGCGTCAGATGTTCCCAGAATACCCAACTAATCCCAGCTCATCCAATTGGACCTGAGCACATCGTCCTCCTCAGTCGATTCTTCGGCTGTTTCTTTCCCCTTCTCTGTTTTCTTTTCCTCGTCCGAGGAGCTCACCCTCCCGTCTACGAGTCAATCCCAAAGTCCGTCCAACGAGTCGCCCACTGGAACCAGTTCACGACTGCTCACCTCAAGCACCTCTTTGTCGCTCTTGGGCGTCGTCTCCAACTCATTCCCAAGCCCATGCAGCCAGTTACCCTCGTACGGG